TAAAGTGTAGGCCTCTTAGATTTTAGGTGCACACCCTAGGTGAGAGTTCATCTACCTAATTTTCAAATAGGCATTGAAACTAGGCACGACCCTAATTCACAAGTTAGTTAAAGCATTAGACAAGGTATGCACTAGGCTGTGGTTCATGACTGATTTAATTAAACTAAATAATGAAATTCTCTTCATAACTTGACCTAAAATGAAACTCAATGCTCCGGAATTTGAGCTTGAATCTTACACTCAAATCCTCCTAGCAATTAAGAACATTCTCAATGTCACATATAAATCACCCACTCTTTGTCCTTTATATGTGATGTGTTTTGTTTTATTTGTTTGTCTTTTTTTCTACGATTTGTTTCGAGTCTCTGTAAGTCAATTTCAATTTTCCTCGGGGCTTTTCATGTGCTACTCCGTCATTTATTATGTTATACATAAACACATGTTTGTCCTGCTAGCTGAATTTCTCTACTATACTGTTACCTGCGAAGTTGATCTCATTTACAAGTGCAGCAATAGTAAGAAACTCATGTACCCAAAATTTATAGTGCATTTATAGCACTTTACTGCATTTTCTTATACTGTTTTTATTTACCGTATCTTATACTGTTTTCACTTACTGTTCTTCCTTATAACATAGTTTGTTTATGCATGTTTTAATTTAACTACAAAACCTTTAGGATATAGCCTGGTTTAAAAGATATACAACAATAAATCACTAAATAACAATATTGCACATTAACATATAAGACACTAAACTTGAAACTACTACTACATGGGACATGGAGTAAGTCTTCGTGGGTAACACGACCAGAATGTAGCGGACGGAAGATGACGATCTACAACAGTACAATAAGTCTACAACAACTAAATATTTTTCTTAGTTTAAATATCTCATAGGACTTCGAGGTAGTTTGCTTAGCGCAACGTGAATCCTCACATATTATCTTTAGGCTTTTGCGGCCTTTTGCACAACTCTATTGTGCAATTATAAGTCCAACACTTTTAGGATTCCGAGGTTACCGTATGGTACAGTGTAAATCCTCCTATCTTTCTAGGTCATTTGTACGATCAGATATCGTGCGAATGTAAGTCTTAAATTCTAAAAATAAATTGCAGGATTAAACATTGAATAACATCATTTCAAAGACATAAAGCCAAATAATAGAATAGTTGGGAGGTCGTCGGGGTTTTCCTCGAATTCGTGATATCCCCTACTCTTCGTTCTTTTGTATTCCTTAAAATAACTGTTCCTGTTTGAGATAACTGTTCCTGTTTGAGCCACTCCCATTTGATTTTCATCTTGGAAACTTTGGAAACTTAAACTTTGAAATCTTGAAGGCATAACCACTGATCTTAATCGAGAGTTTTCTTAAGTGATGATTTAAAATGTATTAACTATAGGGGTTTGCCTCTATAGGGAACTTGGAACCCAGGTAAAATAAACCTTATCTAATCCTTATATTAGGTAAGGGAACTTGTCGGTCATACATAAAAGGTTTTGCAGACCAAACGGATGTCACAAACTCCTTAGTTTAGGTGGTTGAGTCTACTGTTAAGTAGTATGTTTATCCTTCGGGATAGTGTATTATTTGTGGTATCGCGCTCATCCATCTAAACTATTCAATATGTGAGATTTGTTAGGTCTCATCTATTTTTAAATTAAAATGTTACTTTCAAAAATCATATTCACATCAAAACTATTTTCATATTTTACAAAAATCTTTCTTTCCAAAATAACAGCCAACAGATGAGAGTTGCTTCAGTTGTAACTCGTCCGATCTGATGATCTTCTCCAAAGGTTGGAGGGGTGCTCCTGCTGTTACTCGATCCCACGAGAAAGGTTATCTTTCATTTATCCCGGTTACGGTTTGCTGCCATCTTCCTTTCCTGTTGTTGTCCAGCCATCCAGCCATCCAGCCATCTTCCACTTGTCAGTTCTTCCATTTCATGTTGTTGTCCAGCCATCCCCCCGCCTTCCAACAGCCGGTCCTTCAGTTTCCTATTGTTGTCTGGCCATCCAACTGTCTTCTAGCAGCCGGTCTTTCTGTTTCCTGCCGCTTTCTAGCCAATCCGCCGCATTTCAGCATTCGTTCCTTCCGTTTCCTGCAGTTTTCCAGCCGCCATCCAGCAATTGCACTGACCTTCCCGGCCCTTCCCGCAGCACCGTCGCAGCCTGCTACCAGCTACCAGTCAGTCCTACAGAAGATTCCTTTCTGCTTTCCGAATCTGTTGCCCTCCTATAGAGGGGGCCATTTATGCATTTTATGTTGTCATCCTTGCGTATTTTGTAGTCATCATTGTTGCTTACCGTTTGCATGTTCTCGTGTTGTTTCTGTTGAAGAGTCTTCTTGTAGTTTCTTTGAAGTTCAGCAATAATATTTGTAGTTTGGTTGTGGCTTGGGTTAGCTCCACTATCAACTAATCTATAAAAATCCACATAGCATAAAACCTTCTGACGTCAACAGTTGTATGAATTACATCTGATTAACTTCTGAATATTGACATGTGAACTAAGCTTAGCATAATATCTTAAATATTCCATAAAATGGTTTCAACATCAAGGTCATATTTAATCATTGCAATACGTATAGTCAAACATGCTAGCAATGTTTAAAATTGTGCAATTAGGTATTGAAGCATTTTTTGTTCATGAGATGAGAAAGCTATTATCATTCAAGTATAATAAAAAGTACAAATTATGTTTATATGAAATAACAAATTTCATAAACTATAAAATATCGTATAACTTGCATAAACAAAAATATAATGTAAACATCAATTGATCAAATCATCAAACATAAAACATAAAATGAAAGTAATATAAATATCAGAAATAAGATGACTTTAACATAGTAGACTTCTCTCATTCTTATTTTCCAATTAATATAATAAAATTAATAGATCTAAATAAGTATAATAAATAATCAAAAAAGTTGAAGCAGCAGATGATGGAAGCAACAACAGGAGCAACTGGCGATGGCAACGATAGTAGGAAGGAGCAACAGAAGGCGGTCGCTGCAACAGAAGTAACCAGAGACCATAGAAGAAGCAGATAATTGTTGTGGTGGAAGCAGCAAGCAGCAACGGCGATGCCAGTAGCGGAAGCATCAAACAACAACACTGGAAAGCTTGACTAGGGAGAGGAGAGCCCTGGAGCCTGAGAGTGCAGCTTCAACTCACATTTGAACTGTCTAATAAAAGGGAGAAAATCTAAGCATGAGTGGCTCATTCCTCAATGGAAAAGAGGGGAGGTGCGCCTCAACAAATATGAGGCGTACGCATCACTCGAGTTGTTTAAGACGTACGCCTCAAAGCATTTTTCTTTGGAATTGCGCTAAGACATGCCTTAAGGCGCATCTCAGATGGCACAATTTTAAACAGTGCATGCTAGTTATATTTCATAAAGCATATTTGGTTGCTTGTCTTTCAATCATTATTCAGTAAAGCATTCCAAAATGATTCTTTTTAAACTTAGACATGAGCGAGTTAAAATGGCTCTAGTTTTAGAATAATCAGAACAAAAGGGTTAAAGTGGTAGAACAAAGAGTAAGTGCAAATGAACAAAAAATCAGTACTCTGATAAAAAGAATGAAAGAATAATAGCAAATACTGTGATATTCTGGTACTAAATGAGAGTTATTGCAAGTTTTCCCCAAGAGCAACATATATAGCATGTGTTTACTTCCATTCAATTGGGAAACAAATTAACACTGCATTATATAGTTTACTTTAACTGGCAAGCTAGATTTTCAATATTATGAAAATCTTATTATTATGGCATATTATGGCATATTATGGCATAGAGTAAAGGGAGAAAATCTTATGGCATATTATGAATTTGCATTTTTGTGGGAATGATTGACGGTGACAACTGGTAAAGAGAGGAGTGTTTAAAGGAAGATAAGACGGGATTGGCAAGCTAAGATATTCTGAAAGAGAGTCGCACCACCGCAAATGACACAAATTTAAAAAGATTGGCATGGTAACTTAAGTCTATGACATGTAGAGGGGAGAAGCTTCTATCATATCTAAATAACAAAATAGTAATGAGAAGAAAGATGCTTAATGGAGAGGAGCAGAAAGTTTCAAGTCTCAATGGATTGCTAAAGTACTTACTTGCTACCTCTAGTGATTGAATAAAAAAGGCCTATTTATAAGCCCAAGCAAGTAAATAGGAATTCAAATACTAAATAAGATAAATAAGCATGTAGAAAGACTCAAGATGTGAAGGACACGTGTGAGAGACTCTCTTAAGAATTTATGTACACTCCCTTAGTACAAAACAAATAACCAAATTCTTTTTCTTCCTGCAACATCCCTTTATCTAAATAGAGAATGTTGGCTGCAAAGGAGTGGGCATTTCTGACAGTGGCATCGAATTTCATACCATAATTGATACACGTAATCATGAGAATCTTTTGGTGAAGTTGCACATAGGTTCTGCATTCAATGCTAAAATTGTGGATAGCTAGTGCCATGTTGCAATCATTACTATGCTACCGATAATCTTCTCAACTTCAAAGTTACTTGTCTCTTAGAAGCCTTTCAAATATCTATTTCTTGGCACATTGGCTCTCAAGAATTATTCTCTTGGCACTTGGCTCATGTTTTTGAAGAGCATCTTGATGCCCTTCCTAAGTTTCCTCCGTCTTGTCCTATTATCGATAGTTATACTCTTCGCTCGGGTTCCTTTCCACAACAAATTGGATTTCTCAAGAATCTCTATCAAACTTTTAACTCCTCTCAGCTTACCCACATCATTGAGTCTGCTTATCTCATGACCATGACATTACAGGAGTTGTTGTTTCACTCTTGGTGATAGGCCTAATAAACTCTTACATAGGTCAAGTCAAATATCATGAGTAATCCACAAATAGACCATCCATTTGAGATTATGTTACATTTACAAAAACATCAAGCCGATAGTTGTCTGCCACAATAAAAACATGAAAGAATAATAATAGCAAAACTGAAACAAGTTTCACATAGAAGTAACATACTTCGTAGAGGAACTCATAACCATAGTGCTGGACTCTTCTTTTCGAAAGATTCTTCCAAGGTTTACTATCAACTGCAGCAAGGAGTTCCTGATATTAACAAAGACAATAGCAAAGTAAAATTTCCCAAGGTTTCCATCGAACCATTGCACGCTCCATGTTGAACACTTATAGAAGACATCTATATTCAAAATGAAAAAAATTGTTGTGAAAAAAACAGCAGAAACCTGCTCTTCCTCAGAAGTAATGAAGTCATGCACCAGGTGAATTCCTGGAATTGCTAGCTCTGATGACACCAGAGACACAAAAAGTGAATCATTGTCGTTAACCTAGAAGGAAATGAAATCAACCAATCAAAAGTTCACAGAAAGCACTACGGTGGGACGTTAATAAAAAAAAGAGCACAGAAAACTGAAAATCATGCCACCATTAATATCATAACTAATCATTGGGCCATATATGCAAAACCTTTTGTTTTAGTTGTAGAATTGAATAGCGTATATGCAAAATTCGTCCACCAAGGGCTCCACAATGACATCCATTCAAAGTTCGAAAGGCCGCTTCAGCAGCAGTTAACTCTGAATAGCAAACAATAACACGGGTGCCACTATCGTCGGCAACATGAATCCCTACAACTTCTCCAAAGGTACTAAAGAAAGATTTTATATCCTCAAATGATATGCCTACAGCTGGACCACAATTGGCTACATATAAATTTTGAGTAGCGGAACAACTTGAACCCTTGGGATTAGTGAACCTTGAAAGGTTCGAATCCATGACTATGCAATGTTTCTTTTATATCATACAGCTATACCAACCCTGAAAGATTATAAGATGAACAAAAATCAAAGAACATCGATAGAAACATCATTAACTTTATGATAAATCAACTTTATGGGGAGGAAAAGGCATATTAAAAGGGTACATTTACAAGTTAAAAAAGCAATCAAAGGTTTCAACCAAAAACATGCATAAAGTTATATTTAATCAAATATACTTAAAAGGTAGTTAAAATAGGATTATCCATATCAAAAGGCAAGGAAAAATCTCACATGATATTCTATATTATATAAGATTAATGCAGCATATGGAACAAAAAACAAAAAGTTCCATTCTGTCGGCCAAAATTATATAAGATTAATGCAGCATATGGAACAAAAAACAAAAAGTTCCATTCTGTCGGCCAAAACATTTTTTATGTAACTAAAACATAAAGAAATATGATTCAAACTTCTCTTCCTAAAAATTATAGTTAACTGGAATTAATATTCACAACATTTCCAAATTTAATTATAAATTTAGTCATCAAAATAAATTTCTTTCCAAAATCTTAAATACATGAAACATGTCCATGTTAGAGGAGATAAAATGAACATCAAAATATTACATCATTGTAAAATATAGTTTCTATTTAGAAGTATATTTATGTTTGTTTGCAAATGTGTGAGGACACATAGATAAGGTCGTATGTCCATGCCTATGCTATGTTCTGGTACAAAACCAGGTGTTTCTCTGTGAAATCAAAGTAGGAATTTCATCTTAAATAAATCACTCAAAAGATAACAAGATGGGCATGTTCATGATCAACTTCACTAGTCTTCCCAATATGGTGTGCACAACAATATAAAAAAACTTTATGCAAGAGAACAATAGTTTATCTGCTATCCATTGCCCTCAAATTCATTTTAGATATATGGCAAATATCCCATATGAAAGTGTATACATTTACAAAGCACTGTACCCTTTCTAAGGACATAGAACTCATAAAATGTTGCATGCTAGAGGAAAATAGATTGCAAGAAAGACCCACTCCCCTCCCTACTAACAAGTGATAGTATCCCATTTATAATGAGGGCTATAAAATTATACTATTTCCTATTTCCTAATCCCAAGTTCTAAACAAGATTATCTAACACTTATCAAGGTTCCAAAATTGCTATCAAAACTCTCACATAACAACTCGGGGTATAGTTTTGGATAAACTAGGGTTACTCATTTGGAACAAAAAATTCGTCAGGACAACAAAAAAAAAAGTTTACTCCAGTGATTTGATATCCATGAAATTTGACTTCTGCAAGCGTACCAGATAGACTTAGGGTCCGTTTGGGGCAGTTTATAAGTGCGGATGGCATTTTCAAAAAGCCGCCGTACCGTTTGGTTCGCGTTTTTTGCCAGCTTATCCGAAACTGCGTTTGGGTTTTTACACTAAACGCAGGCCGCTGGTCCACCCCTGCGGCGTGTTTCAGGATAAACAGCTTATCCTGAAATGCACAAGCAGCCCCAAACGGACCCTTAAGATGAGATGATTGAGTGGGCTTTTAGTTGCACGTATAAAGAACAAAGAAAGTAAGCACGCGTTGTAATGCGACTGCAACCATTTGGGCTTATCAAGGGATATTCAATATATGGCAATAAATGGAGTGAAACGTTTTATTATTTATGTTGGTAAAATTCGTTTGCCTTTTTCCTTTTACTTAAAAATTAAATGCTGCAGAAAAGTGAGGTTAATATCTTGTATTTATGGCATTTGCGTGATTAGGGGTAATTTTGTCTTATGGTTTTATTTACTTGATGCCCTAATCCTCATCTATAAAAAGGGAACTAGGGCTTATGAGAGACTTATGGGTGCATGGTGAGAGGAGTTGAGTTGTAAGCCCAAACTATTTTTCTTTCTCCTCATCCGGTGCTAGTGGAATCTCCCTCTCCGTGGATGTAGACAAATTGATTTAATGGCAAGCCACGTAAACCTTGTGTTTGATTATTGTTCTGTGAATTTATGTGTTTCCGTATTGTTTTCGCATAACAATTGGTACCTAAGCTTCGGTTCATGATCGGAGAAAGATTCGGCGTCAGCAGCAGCAAATCCAGTGTATTGCCGGTGTTTTTCTCAGCAAAGTGGTCCGACATAATTTGTCGGCAGACTCAGAAGGTTTTGGTGCCAGTTTCAACAGGAGGAGTTGCGCCCAGGTCGGTAGGAGGAGGCATCGGAGAAACTGTTCGGAACCAGAAAGAGGATTAGGAAAAGATTCTTTCGTTTCTACTATAAGGAATATTCCCTTCCCTCAGTCTGTTGGAGGAATCCAAAAAAGCTTTCAGATTAACTTGTTTAAAAGGGAACAGTAATTTCGATATTTTGCTGGAGGAATTTTTTTGAGGAAAGAGATTCCAACAGTGATAAAAATATTTGACAGCACGATGTCAGTTTTTTCAACGTCCACTATAACAGTGGAAAATTTGATTCATCAGGTAGTTACGCATCCCATTAAAATCGATGTGACGAAATTTGACGGCAAATGCAACTTTGGCATGTGGCGATGTGAGGTGATGGATGCGTTGTGTTCTCTGAATCTGGAGGAATTATTAGATAACGAGGAATGTCCTAGAGATATGTCAGAGATATATTGGTTGAAGATGAACATGAGTGCTTGTGGTTTGATCCGAAAGTGTTTGACCCAGGAGATTAAATATGGGTGATGATGGAGACTTCTGCAGGAAAATTGTGGAGAAGATGTTGGAGAACCAATATCTCACAAAGAGAGTGGAGAATCGTCTCCATATGAAGCGTCGACTCTATAGATTTCAGATGGAGGGGGTTACTATTGATGAACATTTAAATGACTTCACAAAGTTGTTTGAAGATCTGTTAACTTTAGATGAGGAGGTTGGAGATGAAGATAAGGCGCTCCTTCTGTTGAATTCACTCTCGGATGAGTATAAACACTTCACTATGACACTCATTCATGAGACTGAGACCTTGAATTATGGTGAAGTGACTACGGGACTGTTGAATCACGAGTTCAGTCAAAAGAACAAGAAGCTTGCAAATATGGAATCAACTGAGGCACTTACACTCCAACTTGGCACATCTAAGAAGAAAAAGAATAAATCAAAGAAAGGTGGCAGCAGTGACACTCCTCAAAAGCAGGGCAAGTCTTGTGAGTGCAGTTTTGAGAAAAATCAATGTGTTTTCTATTCAGAGACTGACCATTGGAAGAAAGAATGTCTGAAGCTAAAAGAGAAAAGAAAGGAAGTTGCATCTGAATCGAAAGCCAATTTCATTGTGGAAAGATATGAAGAGGTGGATTCAGATGTATCGTTATATGCAATTTCTCACACTTTGTTTACAAATGATTCATGTTGAATTTTGGACACAGATGCTACCTATCACATTTATCACCATTAAGAGTGGTTTTGTACGTACAAGGAACTGGATAGCTGACAGTTAGGGCTTGTCGTGCTAATTAGTGTAGGGAGCATCTTTATCAGGATGTTGATATTGTGAGGGAGCTGACCGATGTTAAACATCTTCCAAATATTAGGAAAAATTTTCTGACAGTTAGGGCTTTAGAGTCTAAAGGCTACATGGTAGTTATTGAGGCGGGAGTTCTGAGGATGTCATTGAACAATGGTTTTAATGAAGGGAGTTCTTCGTAACAAACTTTACTATCTTCAGAGTGATACAGTGACCAGAATGGCTATTGTTGTTGATAATTCTTCTAACGCCACTAAATTGTTGCATATGCAGCTAGCTCATGTTGGAGAGGCTTCACTTCTGACTTCGGTGAAGAAATGATTGATCAAAGAAGCGAGCACCTGTAAACTAGGTGAACCTTGCGTGTTTGGCAAGAAGACGGATATTTTTTAGGACTGTCATCCACAATACAAAAGGTATTTTAGAGTATGTTCATATAGATGTTTGGGGCCCGACGAAGATAGCATCATTCAATGGGCGAAGATACTTTCTCTTTTATTGATGATTACTCTAGGTATATTTGGTGGTACAACATGAAATGTCATAGCGAAGTGCTGGAGATTTTCATAGCCTACAAGAAGTGGATTGAGACTCAAACTAGTAAAAAGATCTTGTGTATTATATCAGATAATTGGGGAGAATATACTTTGAATGTGAAAGAGTGTCAAAGAGTTGGGATAGATCATCACTTCACTATTAGAGAGACACCACAGCAGAACGAAGTGACAGAGAGAATAAATCAGATTTTGGAGGAGAAATTCAGTTTATGTTATCCATTGTTGGGTTGGATAGAATCTATTGGGTCAATGCCATAGAATATGTTTATCACTTGGTAAATTATTCGTCTTCTGCAGCTATTGGGAAGATGACCTCAAAAAAGATGTGCTCAGAACATCCTGCTTGAGATTATGAGTACATGAGAGTATTTGAGTATCTAGCCTACTGTCACGTGTAGAATGATAAATTGGAACCACGAACAAAGAAGATAATCTTCATTAGCTTCAGGCATGGAGTTAAGGGCTTCAAGTTATATGATCATCCAGAAAATAAAATTGGCATAGCAGGAATGTTACATTCGCCAAGACAAACTTGTTGAAAAATTGGGACTCAAAGCAAGTTAAGAGTTCTACTGGGACCACAGATATACAGCAGAAGATGGAGTTTAATAAACTCTATTTGTTCCATAAAGTTCGTCCACTCCAACTCAAATATCTCATTCAGTTGCAGCTCAGGAGATATATGTTGATAATGCTCAGAAGGAGGAGAAAGAAGATGTTGATGATGAAATTTCAATTCAGAAATCTATTGTTAGGAACAGGATCAGAAGCCAGAATGTCCCAAAATCATCTTGGTTGAGAGATCACATTGCATTTACACTTTCAGCATAGAGTCAGAAATTTCTTGTCACTGCAAATAAGCAGTAGAGAGCCCGGACTGTGATCTTTAGAGAGCGCAATGGATGAAGAGATGAAGTTTCTTCGGAAAAATGGTACTTGGAGGTTGGTGAAGCTTCCTCCAGGAAGAAAAGTCATTAGATACAAATGAGTGTATGCAAAGAATGAAGGATCTCATAGAGCTGATGTGTGGTACAAGTTAAAATTAGTAGCAAAAGACTTTGAGCAATGAGAAGTGATTGATTATTACGAAGTATTCTTTCCAATGGTCAAGCATCCCTCAATTCGTGTTCTTTTAGCACTTGTAGCAAAGTACGGTCTTATCTTAGAATTGCTCGATGTGAAGACTACATTTCTACACAGAGAATTGCAAGAGGAGATCTACAAGTTGCAGCCGTCTGAATATGGGGTATCAAAAAACTTGGTTTGCAAAATGTACAAGTCTCTGTATGGGTTAAAACAACCACCACAGCAGTGATATAAAAATTTTGATCAGTTCATGAGGGGACAAAAGTACACAATGAGCCAGTATGATCATTATGCATATTTTAAGAAGTTGACCAACGGTAATTTTATTTACTTACTTCTATATGTTGATGATATGTTAATTGTATTTGTCAGTCAAATTGATGTTGATATGATGAAAAATCAACAGTCCAAATATTTTGAAAAGGAGTTGGATAAAACTCGTAAAATTTTTGGCATGGAGATTCTCAGAGACAAGTCGGCTGAAAAGATTTGGTTTTCGCAAGAAGCTTAGTTATGAAGGTGCTAAATAAATTTAGGGTTGATGACTCAAACAAGACAATGAGTCTACCAATTACATCCCACTTTCAGTTGAGTTCATATTAGTGTCCTAAAGATGATCAGGGAAGGAAATATATGTGATTGATTCCTTATGCTAGTGCAATGGGCAGTATGATGTATGTCATGGTTTGTGATAGACCAAACATTGCACAAGAAGTTGATGTTGTGAGTAGGTTTATGCATGATCTAGGAATAAGTCATTTGCAGGCTGTAAAGAGTATTCTGAGATATCTGAAGAGTACAGTTGATGTTGGTTTAGTGTTTGAGAGGTAGTAATTAAGTGCAGATTTGTGTGTATGCTACACTGACTCGGACTATACATATGATATAAAAAGACAGAGATCTACAACGAGCTATTTATTCACATCAACCGGAGGTCCAATTAGTTGGAGATCATTTCTTGAATCTATTGTTATTTTCTCTGTTACAGAGGAGTACATGGCAGTCACAAAGGCGGTGAAGAAGACTATATGAATGCAGGGTCTATTGAGTGACTTGGAAGTTGATCAGGAGTCTCTGATGGTATTCTGTGACAGTCAGAGTGCGATATTATTGGTCATAAATCCAGTTCATCATGCTTGTATCAAGCACATTGATGTGAGATATCACTTTGTTCAGGACTTGACAGAAGAAGATAGATACGAAGGAAAATCCAGCGGACATGCTCACGAAGGTACTGTCAGTACAGAAGTTCACATATTGCAGGAGTTTGGTGAACATCTAAGCTCAGGACTAATTGCCCAATCTGGCATTTTGAATAACTACGAGAAGCTTGATCCCTTTGGGAGGGGGTACATAGGCAACCATCTTGATACAGTTGAATTGAAGTTTAAAGCTAAATTGGTCATCTCTCACTTATCTGGAAGTAAGAGATGAAGTAGAAATTGTTGTATTTATTATTTTTGCTTAATGAGAGGTAATTTTGTCTTTCGATTTTTTTTACTTGTATGTCATAATTCTTTTCTATAAAAGGGGACCTAGGACTTATGAGAGATTTATGGATGAGTAGCGAGAAGTGTTGAGTTATAACCCCAAGTCATTTTTATTTCTCTAGATCGGTATTAGTGAAATCTCCCTCCCCGTGGCATAGGCGGATTGATTTAATACCGAGCTACGTAAATCTTTTGTGTTTGATTGTTATTGTGTGAATTTCTACATTTCCGCTTTGTTTACGCATAACATAATAAGGTTAAGGTTGAAGAACTGACGTAAATTTTCATAACTTAATCTTAGATCAGTGGCTGTGGATTTTGAACAAAGGTATAAAAAAAATATGTAGAATAGTTCCAGAATGTAGATTTCCAAACTGACTGCAAAATCAAGCAAAAAAAGAGGATGAGAAATCAGATAGGCTCTGCATCCCTAAAAAAAATTAAGAAGTAGACTACTTCAATAAGTAATATAATGCACCATATGCTAACAATTAGTGTATCGAAGCATTCTAAATTTGTAAGGAAAAAAGAAAACATCATCTCATTTTGCACTTCCAGAATTCATTCTAATGACAACAAAATAAAAAATCTTTTACCCTCTTTCTCGAGCCTGAGACCAAAATTTATCCCCTCAGTTTCGGAGGGTAGGCCTCATGGTCAGTCGCAGCGGAGATAAAAAGGAGAAAACAGAACAAGTAGGCAAATATGAGATTACGAGGAGCGCGAGGAAGTATTACTGCGCTGCGGTGATCTGCTCGGTGCAGAAAGGGGCATGCTACCGAACCAAATCGACGTGAAGGCGAACGAATTTCTGCATTAACACAAAGAAGCTCCGTACTGTGTGCATTACTAATTAGTTTAACATTTTCCTTATTCACATAATTAAAATTGTGTGTGTGTGTGTGTGTGTGTGTGTGTGTGTGTGTGTGTGTGTGTGTGTGTGTGTGTGTGTGTGTGTGTGTGTGTGTGTGTGTGTGTGTGTGTGTGTGTGTGTGTGTGTGTGTGTGTGTGTGTGTGTGTGTGTGTGTGTGTGTGTGTGTGTGTGTGTGTGTGTGTGTGTGTGTGTGTGTGTGTGTGTGTGTGTGTGTGTGTGTGTGTGTGTGTGTGTGTGTGTGTGTGTGTGTGTGTGTGTGTGTGTGTGTGTGTGTGTGTGTGTGTGTGTGTGTGTGTGTGTGTGTGTGTGTGTGTGTGTGTGTGTGTGTGTGTGTGTGTGTGTATATCAGCAATTTAATTTAAATAAATATAACCAAAAAAATATTTTATATCAAAAGTCCACTATTTTTTATTAAATAAAGGTGGAAACCCTAGCTCAAGTTACTTGGTTATTTGATCAATTGCTCATTAATCCATATCCAACTATTGCATAGCACTTATGATTAATACGTGGCAAAGTTTTACAATGGTATTATTTTGATTCATCATTTATTTAAAGTTAACATTGTCATGTCTGACTGTTTAGATTTTAGTACATCATTTTTATTTCGAACCACAAACCCAAAGTCGTTAAATATTATAATGTTACTAACTTGGCAGAACCATTTTTTGAATGAATTTTAAACCATCTTTGAAACATATTTAAATTATCTTGAAATTAATATTGAATTATGATCAAATCAACTTCAAATCATGATTGAATCATTTTTAAATCATTTTTGAATAATATTAAAATCTTATTAAACATTCAAATAAAGTTTGAACAATGTTTGAACATGATTCACATAAGATAAGAGCATGATTTATTTTCTTAGTAATAATAAAAATAAGTTTAAGTATGACTTGATCATGATTCAAAGATGACTCAAAAGATATTAAAGGTGGTTCAACCATGGTTTGAACATAGTTTAATTAGATCATGGTTTGCTACTAATTATCTTTGCAAAGATTAACACATTCAATTGGTGTTTTTTTTTTTTTTTTTTGTGTTTACAAATATTTATTTTGATCAAATATGTATAAAAATATTAAATAGTTTGGGTCATATATGAATTTGTGAGTATGGTGAAGAAAATAGTTAGACAAATTGAAACTAAATTTCATTGACAAGGCTAATGGATCTACTTAAAAGGCTCTTTTAAGTGTCAAAAACTATAGTTCACTAAGGCTATAATTTACTAACTATTATTGCAAATGATTAATGATAACTAGAATGATTTTTACTTTATCATATTCATTGGAAGTAAGAACATATTGTCTATCATCACTGAATTTGTTATGAACACTAGATGGGATGTAGAAAATTTTACATAAAAAATTTGATAGGATGTGCAAAAATAGTAGGTTATTCGATAACTATTGTTTGTGATAAAAAATTTCAAGAATTCAGACCTAGCAAAAGCATTCTTAGAGAGCATTATTAGAAATGATTTCTAGTATTTTAGTTTATACATTTTTAAAAATGGTGTCTTCTTTATGTAGGGTAAACATTTTAATTGAGAGTCTTAAGTTGGTTGAAAATGAGAACTTTTATTGATTGCATGTGGGGGGAGTGGCCACCATGGGAGAGAACACAAAGAGTGACAGAGAGGAATATCAAGCATTATGATACCACTGTTACAAAGAAGAATGCTCTACATTTGTATACTAACTAAATATGTCATATTATTAAACTGTTAGACTCATGAAAGTCTCAAGAGCTAGAGAAAAAATGTGTTTAGTTCCTTGGAGAGACATCACAAAGAATGTTATGCTAAGCTAGCAATAATGTGCTCACAGGCAAAGATTTAGTCGCTGATGATGGATGAAGATATAAGTTTTATGCAAAATATAATTTTTTAATTATTTATTTACTATGAATTAATTCATGTGTTTTTTTTTTTTTTAATTATTCATATGACATTATTTTTCAGATGTTTGTGTATAGAGATAATAAGAAGAGCTTTTATAAGGTTCCTATACATATTCATTTTCAGCCTACCCCAATTAGAAATTTATAAAATAAAGTGATCATCACACTTGATAAGTAAAACTATAAGAGAAAGTTAAAGCACACTCAGTTGTAAGTCAATCAATTCCCTCTTCTAAAGGGTTGAAAAATTTTATTATTATTATGTAGGAGCTAAGAAACAAGAAGTTTAGGCTTAAGGATAGTCAAATAATGTTGGAACAAAAGTTAGATGCTTTGAAAAGGCTTGTTTAAAATTTTTATACATAGACATAAGAAGGAGATGAAGGAAAATACAAATGAGGAACTTGCTAATAACTCATTCATTCATTCGATTAAGATAAAGGATGGGGTGGAGGAGAAACTAGCAGCTATTGGGATGTTAACTAATCATATATTATGGTATGTATAGGTAAGGACGTAAAGAAGGCAAGAAATGCCAACAAATTTCTCCTTATTGTAAATAAAAGTAATTTTATGTTAATATATTATAGAAGAAGAAAGTAAATGAATAAGAAGTATTTGACAAAAAAAAATATAGATTCATTGGGAAATAAAGAATCCTATAAATTAATGTCATCAATCTCTTCTACCCAATTGACGAGGAGCAATTATCTTTTTTTAAAGTTTTTTATGATCATTAATAGTAGGCAATGAAAATGCATTATGATTCAATTATTGAACACACCTACTAAATTGCTATATAGCAATGTGAAAAGCCTATTACTTAACTAAATGTATGATTTTTTGAATAGTTGAATACAATACTTTGATTTTAATGTTTTAATAACAATGAGATTATTTTATTTAACAAGGAAGTAAATTTGGAACGATAAAAAAATATATAGACTAACTAATAATATATCGAAATAATTATTTGATCAATATTACATAGCAAAAATCTTAATATACAACTAACTTAAGAAAAATGAGTTATTTATGTGGTCTGAACAAAGTGTTCAAAGGATGTCATTGAAGATGAAAAAAAAGGCTTCTTAAGTTCTAAGTTGATGCAAAACTCATTTACTATACCCTAAACTAGAATAAAGTACATTTAATGATATATAATTAACTTTATTTGATAACCATGGCATTGCATAACGCTTCACACTTTTGTGGTTTAATGCACATCATAAACAATTATGTGTTTCATATATATAAGTACTTTTTTAGGTTGCTTAAGATATCAAGGTTATGCTATAAAATGAAGAAACTTTTCTCTTTGAAAGCTTTGAATATGGAAGAGGGCCAAAATTGATGAGATTCTCAACTATATTATAAAGTAATTCACTTTAAATTTTAGCAAAAAACAACATAAAGTCTTATAACATATAATATGTTGAGTATACTATGTTGCATTTTAAACAAAAATTCTGGAGAATATGTGACACAATACATAATATAACTGATTACAAAAGTTTTTTTTAATGTAGATAAACAACTATCTTCTTTAATTATAATGATTTATCCTCTATTTATATAAAAATATAAACTATCATATTTAGATGATATTCATTAAATTATAATCTACAATGATGTTAACCTAAATGGTAATGGTATGGGTAGGAAATCCAAGACAAATTGAAAATAATATAGTCAAAATTTTGTGAATCTGTCACCAAAGATTATTAAACTCAAAACCACTTAAACATGAAAATAATTAAGGCAACATGACTATGAGTATTATGTTAGAAATTTTGAATTGTGTCTTTTTAGATTAGTAACATGATATAAAATTAGCAAAATTAAGTTAAAAATTTTAAGTCATCTGAATTCTAAAGATAAATTTGAATGATGTATGACTTACAATCCATGTTAGTATATTAGTTGGTTACTAAAAGAGTGAAATGAGATAACTTATCTATACAAACTTAGAACTACTTAGATTTACAATCACGTATGGGTTAAGAAGTGTATGAAGACCCCTATGCACATTAATTAAATTCATGCCTATAATAGCAAATATACCTTAACAAATAAGATATGCAATGCAAGTTACTGATATTTAAGTGATAAAGTTGTCTATATACATATATATTTGATAATACTATGAATGTAAAATAACACTTATATGTTTAAATTGGTTGCAAGCTTTATTATGTATCTTATATAAGAGATACAAAGAGAATCATTTTATAAGCAAAAAGTGGCTTGAGAGAGAGCTTTAATTTTAAGAAAAATTCATTTCTAAATTATTTTTAAGTTGAATATTAATTTAATAAAGTTTGTATAAAAATATTGTGCTGACACTACATTAAATTGTTTTATTTTTAAGCAAAGCACACAACAAAAAGTAAAGGAAAAGTATCACATGAATATTAGAAATAAATAATTAAAGTAAGAAAAAAATAGCATGATGTGATCATGATTAAAAAAAATAAAATATATGATGATGCAGTTTGGCCTGCTAAATACTCTATAGAAAATTTAAAACAACTAAGCAATGTATATACATGCTAGTCCTAAATTTATATAAAAATAGATTGTTAAAATTCTCTTTATTTTTTATTTTTTTTTCACCGAGTTCATCCTAAGTATTTTTGGACCATCATAGCTTTGGGCTACTTCTATATGTGTCTAAGAATATACTCTTTTCACTGTATCTTATTATGCATATAAGATTTTCTTAGACTAAACTAAGTAGTAATATAACAATCTCCTAATTGGGGTATTAAAATAACATATTAACTATAATGAAAAAGATAAAGAGATCCTTGTAAAACCCAAAAATATTATTTTTAATGAATAATGATTTTATTTAAATATAAGGAGATTATTGTTGATGAGACTATTATTTTTTTATGAAAGTGACTTGAAGATGCTTAATACTAATTATCACTGTAAATATTTAGCTTTATATGATAAAATTGTCGTGACATTAAAAAAGTTTTTTGCCAATTTTAAATTGAAGGGCTCTTTTTATAATATATTATTGATAAATTTTTGTTTTATTATTATAACTTTCTTATTTTTATAATGCACCTTCTGGTAGTTGAGCTTTAAGGTGCTCTCTTTATTCTAAATAAACTTAGAAGAACTCAATTTGTTATCAAGTATGAGAAATGATGGAAGTTACAATCACTGTTGACTTCACCGCCCTATAAACACTTATGACGAAGTATTGAAAAAAAAAGGTGGTAGGGCTTCTCTTTAGATTCAAAATGAGCACAAACGGAACTACTAAGTTGCTAGAGAGATGGCATATGGTCCATCTCAAATAATGCTTAAAACTAGCTCCCCTTAATTATATTCAACCCCTAGAAAATGAAATTCTTTTATATGCTTAGATTAAACAACCATTTGTTCTCAATTAGAGCTATCATATCATCTTTACTGGACTACCTTCAATGATTAAATAGATAATAATCCATACTCATCCAGGGTGAATAAATTAGGCTTGTTATCATTCCCAAAGCAAAACACTTATAAGCACAAGAGCAAAACATATTTTTCTTGTATTAGAAAATCCAACACAAAATTAAGATATTAAATATCCAACAATACTAGCCTTAATATAAAGTTTACACTCTCATAGAAGCTATACTTAACCATTAAGAATCATAACCTCATAAAATTTTTGAATCTAGAAAATGAAGTTATAGCAATACGACAAAATATTATAAATAATGTTTCACTATCTTTTAATTCACCTCTTAAAAATAATTTGCTACTCGTTACCAACATACTTCCTAAATAAGCATTACATAAACTTAATAAGCTTTATATCTTATAATGTATATATTCTTGGCAAATTCACCATATAAGGTTATTTCGGCATATTTAGTTGATTTTTAAGTTCTTTGCATATTAAATTATTTATTCTCCATCACCTTAAAAGCTTAGCACTATTGTCTCACGTTAGTTATCTAATATTCAACTCTATTTATTATTTTAATGATTCTATCATGTTCACTTTTCACTATTGTCTCATGTTAGTTATCTAATATTGGTGTCATCAACATTGGCTCCTGTGGAGCAATGATTCAATTTAGCTTCATCAATTAGCCTATATTAAAAGTGTCTATTATACTAAGGACATTTGTAACATATAGCCTACACAAGCTTGAAAGATGCTCACTCCATTTGGGAGATTATTCAACACCAAATATGCAACCATTTAAAAAAAGATTGAATATTTAATCATTTCAGTTATTGGCATATGTGTTTATCTCTCAATTATGGGAAGGAGTTCAAATGCGGCCAACATCAATGATTCAACGAATCAATCGGTCGAAGCTCTTATTCTCTCCATCGAAGTGAGTCACTTTCAACAACAAGGATGGTCCCAAAGCAGCCAACCTCTTCGCCACTGCATTAAAAAAAAAAAACTACGCATTTCATGCTAGGAAAAGATAATGTTAAGGCCATCAATTCTTCGCCACTGCGACGAATAAAAGAATGGGCAACTCTTATTTCTATAGCTGTCTCAACTCAGGCCTATGCACCTTTAACTATAAAGTTAATTATTAAAACTCTTACCAAAAAATATAATGTCAACAATCAACATGGGTGTGTGTTGCTTTAACCCTAAAATAGAAAGTTAACACACCTATCAAAAAAAAAAATTTTTTTTTAAAAGCATTGTAATGGATTATGCATCCAATGACATATAATGTATGAATCTGAACATATTAGGTGGTCAAATTACTTTAATCAATTTTAGGTGTTTTGGCAACCAAAGCTCCTCAAAAGAGTACTATTCGTAATGCTAATTAAAACATGAGCGATGCTCAAAAAAAAATTTCAATTTAAAAATATTGCTAGTATTCTACTGCCTGCCGAAAGCTTCATCTCCTTCCACTAATTAAGAATGGCGAAAGCTTTATAGAGCATCTGTAGATCAGAAATGTAGGGATGTAAAAGACACCGCGCGGGAAACATGATTCGATTTTATAAGCTTAAAAATGACCAAAAAGCACACTTCATTCTATGAGAGCTGTAAAGTTGTCATTCAGCTACATAATCAACTTTTAAGCCCTTTTAAGCCCACCACTGTCAAGCAACGAGTAGAGATCCAAAAGAATCAGAAAAGCAGTTGTTTGATGTTTCAGAGGGAATAAAAGGGAGGAAAACAGGAAAAAAATGTTATAAAGCATCAAGATCACATAATTACGTGTTGTTCTGTAATCAAACTGAGAAAAAAGCTACATGAAAAAATTACTAATCTTTCTTGCTCAAATATAATACCCGTTGTGATGTTCAACATTTACATTTTATAACCTTTGATTCACGAATATCTGATGTGACCACCAATATTGAATCCATCTACAATCAACAGAAAGCTTTTTAGGTAATCCGTCAAACTCTCACTAAGAGTACCACAAATGATAACAATAAATCTCAGAACTAAAATAAAATAAATAAAAAAGACAACAAAACAAAAATACATCTTTTCTCTCTGATCTCAGTCGCTTGAAGATTAAAGGATGACGCTTGCCCGAGATATTGTATGAGCCTCTTCAAGATCTTTAAGAAACCTGCACATTTGAATACTGAAATTGAAAGCTTTCCTCTAATCAACAGCTTTCCCCATAAAAATTTGCAGTCATGCAAAATTAAAATCAAGATCATTTCCGTTCTCATTTTATTGGTGCAACTTCAATAAGACATGATCGAGTTGATAAGCAAACTAACCCTATAAGTATGCAATAGAGAACAAAATTTATGAAGCGCTAGCAAACTTGAGAGAGCGATCATTTAACAAAGAAGGCTTCCGTAAACTTTTACCTCTGAGAGTTGAGAACAACAGTACCGCCAAGTATAAAACGGGTTCCTGAATTGGCAGCGTTATGTAGAGCCACAGTGCGTGCTTCCTCATAGGTTGTTCCACCAACAATGAAGACAACAACTTCCTGCGGTCTGGACACACATAATATCAACGTCAATTAAGAAGTTGAGCATGCTCACAACACTATATTACATTATTACCATAACAAAAGAATGTTAAGACAAATCATAACACCCACCAATCAATACATCATCATCCTCCTTAAAATTCAACTAACTCGCACAACCCAGGAAGATGCTATTCATCCCATAATTAATTAAGAAGGTGTTTTCTCTATGAAATAATACATCAAGATGATATCAAAGTGGGGTTACTAATCCCAACCGTCTCTAAGTACCTAGGTTTGAGTACTCTTTCTCTCAACCACCCCATCCCACCCCTTTCCATGCCCAAAACCAGCACTGCATGCACAGTGTTGACCTTGATCTCCTCTCATCACACCGATCGTGCTCATGTCCTGCTTTCCATTGCACATACCAACAACTGATTCTTCATCCACCTTCGCTTGTATCAAAAACAAACATTCATCCTTTACCCACAAATGTGGTCACACATTTCTGAAACTCACATAGTACACAATACGTTGATCCTGATGTCCTCCCACCCCACTGATCATGCACACCTCCCACCTGCTACAACAAGCACAAGAGAACTACTCTTTAATCGACTTCGCTTGAACCAACATCCTACAATCGAACTCCACTCACACATACTTCCTCTGCCAGCATTTACAATACCTGAGTCATTTCCACAATCGCTTGTTTGCATCTCGTGACACTCATTTATCGTTGTTGAAATGCTGATGCCCTTGCCATCTCGCAACTTCAAACAAGCTTCAAGTAAACCCTACCTTCTTTGGCTCTCTTCTCTATAATAACATAGCTCCTGACCCAAAAGCATCTTCCAACATTGGTGTAATTGGCAAGTTTAATTGTATCAACTACCTTCTTTGGTGGAGAGCATTTCAAATTCTTGTTGATTCTCATGACAAACTCATGCATCAGAACGCATCTCCAAATCGTCATGACACCATCAACTTCTTTAAATGGCAGGCTTATGATAATGCTGTTCTCACAAGCATGTTTAACAATCTCAAAATTACCATTGCCTCTTCAGTTATGTTACAAAAAAATGGCCGTTCAACCTAATTTCAAGGAAAGCATCATATCCAAGGCAATACACTCTATTCTAACTTATTTTCTCTATAATAAACTATCTTCTAATCTAGGAATGCTACACTACCCTATATCATAAGTGAGAAAAGCTTCATAAATATCAACCCTCCATAATTGATTTTATAGTTTGATATTGATGGTCAACATCCCCAACATTGCAACTGCTCTCTTCCATAATCTAATGTTTGGTGAGCTTTTAACTCCCTTACCACTAAAATATGATTAATATGCTCGAGACAAAGAACATTGTGGTAGCCATTAGAAGTGTAATTGAGTAAGCTGACTCAAGCTTCACTCAATAAATGACTTCTGAACTGAGCTTGATGAGCTAATGATTCAAGCTTGATCCAACCCTGACTCAAGTCAATAGCTCATGAGTTAGCTACTTCAAAAACTTTTACCATAAACACTTCGAATATGCTTAAAGTTCAAAAGTTTTAAGTATAATATTATTTAAATTACTTCAAATATTTATCACTTATTTATATCAAGTGATTTTTTCATTATTCCTCGTTTAATTTTTTATTCTTTTTACCATTTCATTACAACAACTACATAAATCAAAATCATTTTCTCAATTTCATAATAAATGAACCGACATAAAAGTGATCTCAAACTCGATTAGTTAACCTAGCTTAAGCTATAAATTGCTCAAGATCAGCACGATTCATTTCCTAGCAGCCATGATAATTGTGAAGGAAAATCTTTCCCTTTGTATTCTCACTGTGGAAGGACTAGTCAGTCTATAAAATGTTATTGGGCTAAATACAAATGCTATTACATAGCTCAGCGCGCCTTAAAATCTTTCGTTATTGCTCTCTCATGGTCGCACTACCTCATATGACTTTACTCTTTCCAATGTGAATATGATTTATCTTATTTAGCACTCTCAGGAACTCATGCTTGCTTCCCAAGACATTCCTTCCTATCCATATTGATGTGGTTTAATTTAATATTGCCATAATATATTCTAATGCGTCCTCTTATGTGGTGGTAATTTCCACTTGCTTTCTTCCTTCGATTCACGGATCCCACTTTAATGCACTCGGAAAAGGTTCGGCATCTCTATCTTAAGCCTTTTCTCTTTCAATATGTTTACTTTAATTGTTTAACCAAAATCATCAGTCTTCTATTACCCCAAAATTAACTTTTTATCATACTCTATATTTTTTAAGATCTTAGTACGGGTTAAATGATTAGTAGTTTTAAAGCTAATGGAGTTTATTGCATGTTAGTCGGGGATCCTTTGTTACCTCGCTCACTTTGTATCAATGGCAGTCATGTGGGTCATTCACCACTATATTGAGTTTGATAGTTGACCTCTCTCTTATCCTTAATTGAATGCAATGTTTGTGTGATTGGTAAACATGATCAAGTGAAATTTCCATCTTTAAAGTTAACCACTAATTTTAATTCATTTGAATTGGTTCACTGTGATATATAAGTTACGAGTCATATCTTAAGGTATCTTGGGTATTTTGTCACGTTTATTGATGAGATTCTCATATAAAATGGGTCTAGTAATTCAATATAGATTAAATATATTGTCGGTAATGAAAATTTTCTATTAAAAAATAAATGTTTATTTTTGCCTTAATTTAAACTATTCTAGATGATAATACATTGTAATTCATGCAGTTTTATTATTTTATCTTAATATCGGCATTCTTCATCAAATATCATGTCCTTATACATCTCAACAAAATGTTTTTGAACAAAAGCATTGCCATTTGTTTGTTGTACTTGGACTTTAATAATACATATAAATATTCCTCGCTAGGATGATATAGTCCAAATTGTTTGCTACCTTTGAAATTGTGTCCCACCTACTATTTTAGGTGAAGTTTTTTCCTTTTCAATTATGTATCTGAGACAACAGGTTCCCGTTTTCAGGTGGACCTAGTCTGTCATTCTTTTTGCCAACGAGATAAACTCTCTTAGATCTATTCAGTTTCTTAGGGTGTTCTCATTCTCAAAAGGGCTGTGGATGCTTCAGCACTACCTCCAGTCACCTCTACATTCCATTACGTAGTCTATATTTTCTTTCATCATGTTATTCATATAGGATTTAGAAGATCTTTATGGTGAAGGCAGTAATTTGATTAGTAACCCCGTAGAGTGGCAATATAAGAGTTATGTGAGCAAGTGAAAAGGAGGTATTAGCATTTTAGTTCGAATTAGAGTTAAATCTTCTTGGCTTTGAAAGATGAGTTTTCCGCATTGAAAAGGGTGATGAACACAAAATCAAAGGTTTGAATGCTAGGGAACTAATGGAAGTGCTTTTATTGGTTTTATATCAATGGTAAGTGAGTTAAGAATTTTTCACACTTGTTGCTCACAGTAGAAAATTGTCTCGCTTTATTGGGATTTTAACTTGGATATCTTGAGGTGAATAAAGAGCTAAGGCCTTAGATAGTTGAATAGGTTATAAGGAAATCTAAAGAAGAGGTTTAAAAGTGTAGAGGAGTTTGGAATGAAGGGAAACAAGGGTTTAGGAAAGTCATGCCAAAGTTTGTGGCACGATAGGTTGTATTGGGGATAAGAGAAAGATATGGAAAAATATCGAAGCCCTAGGGGACCAAACATCACCAAAGAATAGAGATGCCACAAAGCATTTTCATACAATATTTCCATAGGCAAAAGATAATATTATCCAATGGTGAAGAGTACGAAGCATGGATTATGAGGACCTTTCAAACCTATGGCCACTCAACTACTGGCCAAAGAGTTTGATTCACCATGAATCCACGTTAAAGTATAATTACGTTCCAGGAATATAGAAGATGCAGTTACCGATACCTGCCCTGTTGAAAGTGATTTCCAATGAAGGGATAGTCAATATCTTTAAGGCGTCCCTTTGTAATGTTTTCTATAGATTGAAATAAAAGAGGCTGATGTTGAGTGTACACATTCTCAACTCCCTGTGAGAGACAAAAAAACATAATGAAAATTTAGTATGCATCACAAAAAGAGTAGGGATCATAACAAACCTTGAGTCCCCGAGCCATATTACGGGCAATGTTTAGTAGATCACGATTTCCATACAAGTCACCTGTTCTCTTATCAACTCCTGCTTGCTTGAGGAGGAACTGTACAAGCTGTAGAATCATGTATATCAACTTATCAACTTGTTAACCAACATACATACACAGAAAGTACAAAGAAAAGTTACAATCCAACAGAAGGTAAAAAGTCCTGGAACATGCTTTACAAGACCAAGTCAGCACTAAGTTACGAAAACATATCACATTCGAAGGATGTAAAAAACAATGATGATAACATGATTGTAAGACGAAAAAGGCAGCTTGAACTTGGAAAAAAAACGTCATATAAAAAGGCAAAAATCATTAGAAATAGCCTAAATTTTGGTGCATTATTTCCTCGATTCTTTTTTGCAGAGATTAACTTCTGCTGCAGAATGAAATCCTGAGATGCAAAGTTACGTAAATTAGGCAAGCAAGTACTCAGAAGAGCTAGAAAAAATATTCTAAAAAGGGAAAATCCTCTTTCAAAAGTACATAGATTATGACAATGACTTGAAGTGCAAAAGGGGACGGTAGACGATTAAGAACCGATTTTAAAAAATGTGATTTGAAATTTCAACTACATAGAAAGAACTTTTGTTGCACTTAGAAGTAAGAAAAAAGAGAAAACCTCAGGGAAAAAAAAAACAGTTAGTCTAGTTATATTACACCAGACTTATATTTGGCGGATCGAGAAGCTAGTTTGTTGAATAACTGCATTAGCTGGACTGGGCTCTCCTTCTCATAGCGCAGAGCATATAACATTACTAACCGTAAACAGTCAATATCAGAAACGCTTTCACTGTTCAGAAGCTTGTTTACACCCTGAAAAATGGTTAAGAGAATTAGTTTCTGAAGTTACACCTGGGCAAAATAGTTGATAATGACTGTTTAAACAAACACATTCCATTTTAAATCTGCTCGACAAAGTCTATTATCACCACATGCTGAGTGGTTGCAATGATTTGGAAGTGACATGCAGCGCAAGTTAGGGTTATTGTTGTCATTTGCACTAACTTATACTCGTTACGGCAAAACTGACATGATAGACATTAAAAATATTGAATAATATCAGAATTTAAAACAGATATTTAAATAGGAAAAATAAATATTAACATTATTTCCACGTCTCAAAAAATCTGTCAAGTCCATGGTGAAAAAAAATAATTGCATAAAAAAGGAGCTTCAGCCAATAAATAACAAATAGAAAGAATCAGAGAAACCAACAGAAAGAAAAACTGGATCAATAAAAAATCCAAAGTGATCAAATAAAATCCGAAAGGAAAAAAGCTGTCTTCGTCTGACGTTCCAGAAGAACTGCAGGACAAATTTGATGACATTCATGCTAAACCTAAGGACCTAACTGTACTTCAACATCTTAGGACAATGAATTAAATCGGCAAGTTCACTTTTTCCATCGATGACCATAAACTTCAAAATATTAGCCAAGTAAAACTCCACCTAAATTTGATTAATCCAATCAAACCATTGTGCTAAAATGCATAGTCAAAAAAGTATTCCTACAAACCAGGTAGCTGTGGACTCCAAAAATTCATGCCCAACAGCCTTGAGTTGTTTTGTGGTTCTCGCTAAAATTTTTAAACAGCAGGTTAGATTATAAATAGGAAATCACTAAGGGGTTCCACCCTCATTTTGCAAAAATTTTAAGATCTGTATCTAAGTTCGTCATAAGCACAAGCCCTTATGGTTGATTGGCCCTCTCGATGAAGATAAAACTTTTGTTTCAAACCAATCAATAGAGCTAAGTGTTTCGTATATGATAGTTGCAATTTTGATTTTAGATTAAAAAACTTTAAAGCATTTAGCATAGAGAAGATAGTGGGGAGAATGATGATGAACCCGATCAAGATCCCATAATTGCGTCGTGCATC